TAAAGCATCTGATAGTCAGAAGAGATCAACCAGGAAATCTCCAGTTACTAATGCTGACTTTTTACTATCCTTGTTTCAACAAGACCATGTTTGTTCCTAAGTAAATGTGCTTAGCATTAGGGTAATGCTGAGCACACACAAACTTCATCTTCACACTAGTCCTGTATCAAATAAATAATATAAGTGCTTTTAAAACGTGATGCTACATATGCTGAGTGCACGTGTTTTAACCACTGGGACAGGCAGACAGACATTCTTTTCTGTAGTCATCTATAAGGAAGGTGGAAGCAGTTGTACGGCAGTGGCCAAAACAGAGGTGGACAGAAATTAATACTAGCCGTACGCTTCACAACTGAATTAACACACGTGGATATGCAAAGCGCTAATACCATTAAGACCAGGGTCTGAAATGACCTAGTTGTGCCCCGTCAAAAGTTTCATACAGATCACTTTATTTCCTTTAGAGTGTATGATACTTGTGTGTTTGTGCACGTGTGTGTATGTGTGTGTGTGTGTATGAGCACAAGTGCACGTGCATGCAAATATATCTTCCTGTGGCCCCTGAGCCCATATCGCATGCCATCCTCTAAACTGGAAACATGCATCTTGCCATTAGATGATAGCACAGTAAGCTTTGCTTTTTGTTTGAATAGGAATGCCACCAAAGTGTCTAATTAGCTGTCATACAAATTTCTCCAATTCGTAAATCTCAAACATATTTAAGACCTGAGCATTATTTCTGCTGTTCTTTTCATGCAACTAAAGGTCAACATTCAGCAGACTAGGTATCCGACTTTTACTCCTAATGAATCTCTAATTTGTTGTTGTAATCTATGTGATCAGACGACACAAAAATGCTAAACAAGCTGCCCTTTATTCCTTCCAGTAAGCAGAGTAACCTCTTTATATGAGTTGTGTTTTTCCAGTTTCTTGTAAATGTTTCACGCAGTTGCTTTTTCTCATCAAGATCTAAGCTCCTCTTTTAATCCTAAATGTACTTTTTTGTTTTTTTGGAGTATCAGTGTGTATAATTTTTATGTGGATCCCAGCCTCTGGCTAGTCCGGATAACGTCTCCAGAAGGCAATATGCTAATGTACAAACATACCGCACATTAATAAGTCAGAAGAAAATGCTACAAAAAGAGACATTCATCTTCTATATTAGGTCCGGCCAGACTCACTCAACAGAAGAGACACACAGTACATGACACACAGTTGTTGTTGTTGTTGTTGTTGTTGTTGTTGTTGTTGTTTTTAAATAAGTTTTATTCTTATTTTCTACTAGTTAACAAAGCTAAAAACTAAAAAGTCATCAATCATCAAAAACATCAGACCTACTGGGTCAGCCCCCCATAGTTTTTCTTTTTATGGTAAACATGACACACAGTTGTGCGAGGCCCACAGGCACCTGCAGGGAGTGGCGAGTGACAAGCGGGTGTCTGCAGGTGCCCATGACAGAGAGTGGCGAGCCATAAAACAAACTCAGAGAGCTGCAGGTGGCTCCTGAGCCTCGGTTTGGTGGCCACCCTGTTCTGTACAGTTACCAGGAAAGCTTGTAAATACAGAGACCATCTGAATGGGCAACAAGTTCACCCAACGCTACATTTAAACTGCGAAGGAATCTCCTTCTTCTCACAAAATGTTAGCCATCTGTGAAGTGGTAGGACAGAGAATAACCGAGAAACAGCACGATTCCACATTTGCTGCTCTCAGAAACTGAGAACCAAGAGTTTCAAGAACAGCAGAGGCTGGACACGGCTTTCCAGATCTGCACCCACACCAACACTAGGAAGGAAATAAAGAATTTCTGACTTAAATGGGGACCCTTCCAGATCAAACCCATATTTCTAATTTTGAATTGGCTTTTCGATTGAAGTAGGTGTCCATAATGACCTGGCGGATATCAGTTTTAAACGCTTGTCAAACGTAGACTGTAGAGTTCTGTGCTTCAGGACCTTCATTGTTTGATTTGGTTCTTTTTATTTCCATCATATTCTTTTCCTTCTCCTCTTCTATCTTGTTAATTTTTGTGTGGCTCCTAAACATCTTAAATGTAAGAGTTGCATTACATAGGTCTTTACATGCAGATAATCCTACACAAGTTTTTGGTCTTTTTCCCTCTTGAGAGAAAGGTCATCCCATATGGATGTTTAGCATTCGGCAAATAAAGGCAGGAACAGAGACACTGAAAAGCATTTGCAAGGTTCTGGCTGTGAACTTCTCTGAGAAAATGTCAGGGTTGGGGCAGCAATAATAGACTTAATCTGCAGTACAAGGGGATTAGAACGCCTTTCACACAGGCCCAAATAATAATAATAATAATAATAATAATAATAATAATAATAATAATAATAATCCCTAAAAGGAGCAGAAATGGAAGGGGGTATGTGCAAACAAGAAATGGGGGGAACAGGACCTGCTGTTGAAAGGAGTGGGTGGGGGAGGGAGTGAAACCCCCAAAATAAAGACTGCCAAGTTTTTAAGAGCTGCATCCTGTCTTGTATGAAATGTGAAGTGGTTTACACAGAAAAGTAGTTTCAGAGCAAACAGCTTTGATTTTACCCTTTGCACTAAATACACACACTCTTACGCTCTTCCGCCATCTTCAGTCAAGGTTGACTACTTTGAGGGCATTGTTGGTTTTAAAGCTAAAGAATGGCTAAAGGGGTTCTGTGGGCACTTGAAAGGGAGTATATATGCTTCGCTAGACCTTTTTGGTTATTATTTTAAAAGGCTTTGCATGAGGAAATGCATTGTCTTTGATCCTTACCACTTCTGCTTTCTTCAGGAACAGCCACAGAGTCCCCCCGTTGCCCATTTGCCCCAAAAAAGCTGGGAACAGGAAGGAAGACTAATTTGGTCAAGTGATCCTCGACTGCTCTTTTTTCCTCGCTCTGTGAAATGAGATGAAGACCGATGGAAGAAATTGTGGGGAGAAGGGAAGCGATCTTTCGAAGCCCCCTGGTTTCATGTAACACCCAACTTGAGCTGCAGAATTTACACTATAAAATGATAGTTAAGAAATAATGCTTCAATATTGAATTAACGCTGAGCATGTTTACTACTAATGCTATTAACAATGCACGCATCGTCTGCATTAATACTGGAGCAATGCTAATCTGCCAAGTATAGAGATGTTGAAAAACTTTGTAAGTCCTACCCATTATCCATATATCCTCACAAACACAGCAATACTGCCAAACCAAAGCTTTGGTGCAGAGTTCCCAGTGTGATCTGGTATTAATTACTCTGTATCTTGTGAGAGGATGTGTGCTTAATCTTAAGAGGTGTTGACACTGGAAATCGCTCCATCTAGCCTGGGGTGGATACTAGGGAGGGGAGCTTGGCTTTTGCAGCTACACCACATCATGTGTTGCGCAAATGTTCAGTTTAGTTGCAGGTAATGGACTTCGGATGCCATCTGGGATCTTTCTCTGGCATGTCTTGACCGGGAATAATATTTGACTGAACCCTGTGCCATATAGGTTTTCCCCTCTCTAAAGCAACATCGTCTTGCTTTTTTAAAAAAGTAAGATGGATGCCTCCTGCTCCCTAGCTTGGTCCTTCCTGTTTTCCAGTGCCTGGGACACAATCATCCATAGACTGGGTGACTGGAACATCCCTTTGTGGTGCTACTACTGAGGATGAGCTGGAAGCTGCAGCTAGTACAGAACACAGTCTGGTTCCTGTCAATTATCAGGCAGCAGAAAGCACAGATGTTACTGTTACAAGCATTGCGGGTTTCACAATCAATTCAAAGTGCAGTTTGTTGCCTTTAAAGCCTGTAACAGCTTAGGCTCTATGTAGCTCATGGAGAATCTTTTTCACCCCCACCCCACCCTTTCCTTTCAGATTTATCTGGGAAGGCTCTGCATGGGGCCAAAGCAGACATTAAACCAGCCATGCAATAAGCAACTGTGTAAATGGCATTCCAAATGTAAATTGCAGGCATGATGCCCTGAGGAGATCCTGGCCACTGCCCTTTGCATCAGAAGGGAAGTTCCCATTGGTGTCAGTGGCAGCCGACTTCTTCATGTAAACAGCAGGCATGGAAAGAGGGGAGAGAAAATCTTAATCTGCAGCACAGAGGTAGGGGCTGGGCAAAAGATAAAAGCACACTCTTCTGTGTCTTGATAATGATTAGGGCATTTTACCCTTGAAATGCTACTCCTGCGTTTGCTAAAAGCCCAAATTACTTAATGTTCTGTGTGTACCTTTCAGGCCACTGGGTGGTATGGAACTTCTGGATGGTATGTTGCTTCTGTGTGATGGCAACTATATTAACCAAGAGCCTATCAAAGTAAATTATAGTTGTAAAAGACTATTTCTTGAGTGTGGATGTGTGTACATTTGCCTTTCCCATGCTGTGCTTCCAGTATGGAATAAGGAGGCTTCAGAACACTTTCCCTTTGCAAGACTCCTCGACCCTTTGATCTACCTCCAGCATTCCCTTGCAAAAGAATCAACCGCATTGTCAACTGAGGCTCCAGTCACAAAACCTGCAGCAAACAACATCCCTGATTTTCCCGATTGCCTATATGCAATTCAGGAAGTTGCTCCATCACCATTTGAAATGCTTGACGCCATAAAGCTAGCAATGACAGGAACAAAGAGTCCTGCCTCATGTTTAAGAATTCATGTACCGAGAAGTTGGGACTGGAACGCCTTCCCCTACTTGTGTGGATACATGTGTATGTGGTGGCACCCAGACATGCTAGCATCCTCTCTGCTGGATCCCAGCCTTGAAGCAGGACTTCACGCATAAGAAGAACCTTCTGAATTAGTTAAAACAGAAATGGAGATCTATAGGCAAGCCAGTGACTGAGCCATGGTACAGCTGGTGTTCTGGCATCTAGTGGTGTTCTGAAGACCATCTTGCAGTAGCCATTATCACAAGCAGATTCCATCAATTCCAGACAGCAATCAAGCTTTTGCCTTTTTTCATTAAGAGACAGCATCAAAGAATAGTTACACAAGACAATAAATAAAGGGAGGGTGGATTTATTTACTAAACAATTTGTTTTATTTTCTTCATTGTAACTGTTTTGTAGGGAAGGAGAATGGAGAAGTATCATGAAATGGAATGCCCATCTAATAGCAGGGAATCGTAGACGATCCAACTCTACCATCTTAACCATAGCTTTGAAAGACATGTAAGAAGTAACTATCCAGGAATGCCAGTGAGGTCTTGTCTGATTCTCAACAGTATCCACCTCTCCAAGAAGACTGATGCATTCCTTCCAATGAAGAATTAGTCTTCGGTTCTCCCAAGTTTGAAATGGACACCATTTTGCAGTGCAAATACTTTGGACCAAGCATCTTAGGTTCAACAGTCACCAAAAGAAGTCAGTCATACTGGCCTTCTGCAACAGCCCTTGGCTCAGTTCAACAGAAATGGAACGCAAATTTAATGCTTCTGGATTCTCTTCTACACAGACACTCTGCCCCATGGCTGCTACCAGCACCAGTCTGAGCTAATGGGATGGAAGACCAGTTCTCTCAGCCCCTAGACAGATGTAGCTACAGGTGCTGCTTTAGACTTATCAATTTGGGGTTCAGGAAACAAAAACTCCAGCAGAATATCTGAGAGACAGTAAACCATGTGCCTGAAAGAAAGGAGGAAACAGGACTTTAATGGCACTTGCAAAGTTTGACTAAGATCCCAATATGAATGCTCAGCCAGATGAAATGGCGATCACTGTACAACCGAGTACCTCAGCAAAATACGGACTGCACTGAAGAGGTGAACTATTTGGATGACTTGTGACTGGTAATGCTGCACAGGCTGGGCTGTGTCGAAAGATCCATAATGCCTAGGACTTATCTAATTCCGTCTCAGAGAATTCTGGGGAGCTGCATGTCTATGTTGGCTGAGAAGGCAAAGTCAAAGTGGGTTGGGATACATTCATGTGGGTGGGGGGCCTGAATCCCCCCTCTTTCCATTATTACCCATTTAGAGGAAAAAGCTTGCCTTTATATATATATCTGTATATCTAAGTAGGTCTGAGTTACTCAGCAGCTCTCTTCTCCCTGCCAAGCGAGGGAAAGCCCTTAGAAGTGTTTTCCGCAGCTGCAAAACCACTAAGCAAGGAGACATTTTCCAGTGCCAAGCAAGGACAAGTACTTGTCTCTGATGAGCTGTCGACTGCATATGCTTCTTACTTATATTTTCATGCGATGATGCCATGATGGCAAGGTTACCTGTTTATGATGGGGTGTTGCATGGACTCCAGGACTAGGCCCCAGCTCTGCTGACATTTATTGGTCCCAAGAATTTCTAAGACTAATTCTGTGGACAACAGAGATTGTCATGAACTCCAAAGGACCATTTGACTCTCACAATATAACCCTTGCTGTATGCAGTGAGATTTAATTACTCTGATGCCAATAACATGCTTAAAATGGAATAAATATCACCAGAAATCAGGCATCTCTTTAACAATTGCACCCTTTAAATATAGATCTATGAACTTAAAATAAAATGCATTATCCGACTCCTGATTCTAGAGGAAGATTCCTGGTAAGACAAAAAACTTCAATAATGAAAAGCCTAAAGTATATCTTTACAATACCATAACAACCACAGCTAACCATAGATGCCAAGTGTATAAATGCACACACCTCAGGGCGCGAAGCACAGATTCGCCCAGGGATGCTGAATCTCTTCCAGCCTGAGGGCCAAATGCTGTTGCAGAGAAGCTGTGGAGGGCTGCACTCCAGTGATGAGCAGAAGCCCAGCCAACAAAGCAAGCCCACTGGAGCTTCCAGCTGTTAGTTCCAGTAGCTAAGCCTTAGGAAAGGCATGTCAACCATTAAAAATGGAGGTGGGGGAAGTATGCAAAGCTGGGCGATCATCAAACAATGGATGGTTGTGGGGAGAGAGGACATGGCCATGTGGGAACCCAGGTGGACCAGATCTGGCCCTTAGGTCTGAGGTTCTGCACCCCTGGCCTAACTTTTAGACTAGGATATTAAGGCAGTGTCAACATTCTAAGTGTTCCTTCTCCCTAAAACTGAACCACCAGCCTTCTAGCCCTCATGGGTGCTCTCAACATAATGTACAGTTCACCACATTGGCTTCCTCTCTCAAATGGAGGGAAAGGAACTGGGAGGGACAGGAACATAAACAAGTTCAGGTACCAACCCTTTCAAGCTATTATGTCAGGAACAGGTGCATGATCCCCAAAGGAGAAAGTTCTGGGAGCAAAATGGCAGTTGACCCCAGCCTAGCCAATGGAGTGGCCCTCCTGGCTCAAATACCACCAGGTGAATGGCTGATAAGGACACTTTTGGAGGCAATGGCAGTGAGCCCCAGCCAGGCTGATGGAGAGGGCTTCCTTGTCTCACCTACTCCTTTGCTACAGGTGGGATGGCTGCTGAGGGGGATGAATTGGGAAACGGGGGAGCCATGTAGGTTGGCAGATGGTGCTTCTCTGTCTCCTCTCTATCCGATGCAACTGGGAGGAAAGGATCAGCTTCTCTTGCTTCACCTGCCGATTGCCCAGATCTTGATTGCTGCTTTCCCTCAAACCCGACACCCAGAGGAGAAAGATACGAGAGCCCTACGCTGCCATAGCTTTTGAAACAGCTAGCTTCCCACTTGGATGTGCCTGGCAGTCTTGCACCACTATGCCTTGTGAAAGAGCTAACTTGCAACACCAGCTTGTTGGGATCCTTGTTCCACTTGCACAGAGAAAAGGAAAAGAAAGGAGGAACACAACCCTTACTCACCAGGCAAGATCCCCATGAGAATCTGCAAGGCCTGTCTTTCTGCAGCTGCTTTTTGCTCCTCTGTCCTGAGAGGCTTGGGCACCATGGGCAGCACCCCACCGGGCCATATTGATTCCTGGAGCAACCTGAGGTACTGCACCCAGCGCTGAGTGCAGGTGAGATTGTCCACCTGGATTTCCAACCACCTGTGGAGGGGATTGGGGGGAGACAAGATTTCGGCTCAATATTTGCTATGCATCACCTTGAATCTGCACAGCTGGGCAGCCACTGCTACTCAAAACCCCCAACGCTTTACAATGGACACATCGCACAGACAGTCAACAGGTTAAAAATAAACACAGGCAAGGACCCATACACAGGAGGCTGCTATTTGGGGTGCCTGAAAAGTATTTTCATACCAGGATTTTGGGCAAAAATAGCTTGATTGTGGATATAAAAAGAAAACCAACTCATTGCTGAGCCATGCCTGGTACTTCAGATGAAAAAGTGACCATGTCAGACCTGAGCAGTTTTGATCCAGACAGTATAAAAAAAGGAGAGCAAAAAGAAAGCCGAAGCCACGGGTATTGGCTTCCGATTTGGAAGCGCATAGCTTGCGCATGCCGTCATGGGGTCTGTGTTTGAAGCAGATGCTGACAGAGGGATGAAGCCATTGCTAAAAGAAACCCGGGTTCATACCAGTGCTCACAATGCAGGCTTGGCATCAGGGCTTGGCATTGTTGGGCTCCTGCTGAGGCCCACGGCCCCGTGACTCCTCCGTCGGTGAGGCTCCCCATCCACTGCAGCTTGGGCTTTTCAGTAGGGGCAAACCATGTGCTCTCTTCCCAAAGCAGGTTCGCCACCATGGATTGCTCCTGCAAAGCTCAGGAGAAGAGCTGCAGTGGGCGAGGGTCCCCACTGGCCTCCCCCGGCTCTGGCAGGAAACGCCAGAGCTGCAAGAGAAGGAGAGTCCCAGGTCGCCTCTCAAGGCTCACCTCCAGAGCGGCAAAGCAGAGCGATGCCTGGAAGGAGGCAAATGGCGGAGGGCGAGTTCGCAAGCCATGCACTACTGGATGGCTTGCAACGGTGCCCTGGTCTACATTTTCAGCAGAACAATGTGGTGCAGTCCTGAGAAGATCTTCTGGGGTTCACCAGGCCCCTCCTTTGCAGGTATCCAAGAAAGTTCTGAAGATCCACTTGCTTCCGCTGGCCTTTCCTCAAGTCAGGGCCACTGGTCATTATGAATAAATATAGTTTTGGCATGCTCCATTTTATTTTCTTGTAGCATGCTTTTAGGGATATTGAATAGGATTCACTTTGTGTTCTTTTATCTTGCATGGCACCTGGAGAGGAGTCAGGAAATAGTTTTAGATAGATGGAACCCGATCCTCCTCATTCTTTCGATTCCAGTGCAGGCATCAAAAAACTTCTACAAATTGTGCTGTTCTTCCAAGCACACTCACACTTCCCTTTTGTGTGGGAATCATGCTGTTCTGGGTACACAAGCAACAGGGCTCATGCCTCGACATTGGGAATAAGCAGGAACGGTGGCCCCAGTGTCTGCGAAGGCTGTCATTTTGCTTCCTTCACATCCTCGGGGGGTGTTTCAAGCACATCTCCCGCTCTCAGAGACCAGCAATGCTACTCCAATATCAGAATCCCTGTCTTTCCCCTTGTGCTGGAAAAAATACCCAGCGGCAGCCCGCAGCTCAAACTAAACTTTGCTGAACAAGCTGCTAAATAGTGTGTGAGGGAGAGAACAATTTAAAAAAAGAAAAGAAAAGGAACCGCCAATAAATCAGCAAATATGAAGCACCCAGAATGCTTCCCAGGAACTGGCCAAGAAGAGAAGAAAGCGGCACAGTATTTTACTGGAAATGTTACTCTTGCTTACCCTGTAAAAGTTTACAGTGGTATAAACCGTGAACAATGTGTTCTGTACCCCTGGCTGGAGGACAGTATGATGAAGTGTTTGTTTAGCAGAGCTGCAATCCTTCCTGACCTCGGCAGGATGGAGGAGAACTGCACTAAATGTACGACTGCTTGGCCAGTTTGCATCTAGCAGAAGGAAGATGTGCCACAGGCTCCGTCCCAGCCTCCCATTAAGGTGGCATATGTTTATAGATGGTCAGAATCCAGGCAAACTTCATGTCCTGCCTGTAAGCTTCCTGGGGACAGGAAGGATAGCCACCCAAAGAGGATTCTGGGTTAGGTCAGTCTGGAGAGACTTGTAGCTCACCATTTGTTGTTGGACTGCAACACCCATCTGGCCCAGGCAGCACAGCCAACGTTGTCCAATAATGTCAGGTGAGCCAGAAGTTCAGAGTGAAGAACCTCAGGCTTATGAGTGAAACTCAGCCCACTTGGACTCCCAGTCCTGCTGTCCATGTTCCTCAGATGGCCTCACCACTTGCCCAGGGATGATCTGGTGTCCCTGCTTCTGCATATGACTATTCTAAAGGTTGGCATGCCTCTTCTAGGACTTAGTACTTATAGTAAGCTAAACTGTGCTGGCGTTGTGGGTTTTACTCCCATCCTTTTTGCCTTTGGCTCCACCAACAACGGGACCGTGGTCCTCAGAGAACTTCTCAGAAACAGAATTTGCCTCTCCGGTTAAAAGACGTCCAGCAGGCCTGGATGGAGATGGAGCTTAGCCTCTTTCAGAGCAATCCAGCTGGACTCGGTGGGCAAAATCCACTCAGTGGGAAAGTGGGCCATCTGCTCCTTCCCTTCTCTGAGTGTCCCTGCCTTTGCATGCAAGCTGAGGGCCAATGATGGAGAAAGGTCCTTTCTGTGGTGGTGTGACCTGCCTGTGGAGCACTTTTCCTAGGCATCTGGTTGCTGCCCACTCCATGTAACTGTGGGTGCATGGTGAGGATGAGGATGATGACAACGATGGCTTTTCTGCTCTCACAAAGATCCTGTGCAGCGAGTTAATTTGAGAGTCAGTGCCTGGGATGCCACTGAAGAGTGAAGCTCACTTTTAAGTGCGGCTTTTCAGATTGGACTGTTATTAAACCGCTGTTTAATGCAGTCTTCTGCAGTTCTTCAGATTTTATTAAATTTGTTGCTTGTAATTTTACCCTATGCCAGGGTGCTGTAGAGGTTAGAGTGCCAAACTGGGACTCAAGAAGTGCAGATTCTAGTAGGGATGGATGAGAAATTAGTTTCAAAGCAGTTTTGAACAGTTGCCAGTTTGCACCTTTCAAACAGATCATGGACTCAGGCAATCTGCAGTCCAAGTCTGTACACTTTAAGCTTGCAATGTGATTCGCTGCCCCACCCCCAAGAAAAATGCATTCAATGGCATGTGCATGTCTGAAAATCGAGTCTGAAAAAATAAGTACGTTTGGAAAATGCACACAAATCGATGGGAGAAAAATGCATACATTTCAATGATGTGAATAACTGAAACCAACACCTGGCAAAAGGTGCATGGATTTTCCTGTAAAATCAGAGAAACTTCCCATCTGATACAGACTTGAGTCAGCACATGGTTTGTAATGAAATCTGGATAACTTCAACAACATCAAAATTTATGTATCCCTGGATTCTAGTCCCTGCCTGGCCAGGAAGCTGATGGGATGACTTTGGGCCACCCACATACCCTCAGCCTAACCTTTCTCCTGAGATTTCTGTGAGGATAAAATTGAGAGGAAGACTATCGAAGCCACCTTGGATGCTTTCCAAGGGTAGAAAATGGCGGGATAAAAATGTTAATTACAAACTGATATCTTACTGTGCTTTTAGGAGGTCACCAGGGACGGGGATGCTTTGACTATGCTTTGGCTCCTCTGGGTTGGGGTTAGGGCAGAGGGGGCCGAATAGGCAGTGGCTGGCTTTAGGGCTATGGCAAAACGGGGAACTAATCTGAGCTAGTTTGATTTCCTGCCTGCTTGCAATTCACTGGATCGGAAGCAAGCTGAATCAAGGCTTTTGTCATAAATTCTCATGTGCAAAATGGAGCACAATTTGCATGTTTTTAAAAAACCATCCATGGAGACTGCCACCAGAAAAATACACGAGATAATGGGACTTCTGTGATTTGTGTAAGCTGCCCATTCCCCAGGTTCAGTTTTTGCATAAAAAAGAACCTAAAACATGTGACTCAGAAAGATTCGTGTAAATCGCAATAAACTAAATGTTCTCCGGGTGCTATTTTGAGCAAAAAGGAGCATTTTTTTTTTCACAAAACAGCAACTGGAAAACAAGTTTCTGGGTCTTGTTTTTTGCAAAAAGGGCTCATTTTGGACAAAATAGCTCTGAAGAACATGTGGGCCAGTGTGATTTATGCAATGATAATTAATCCACACACTTTTCAGGTGTTGTTTTGTGCAGAAAGGGCCATTACTGTGCAAACGTACACTGGAAAACAAGCAAGCATGTGGTTTCACAAGATTTGCACAGAACCAGCACGGGTTCCATTCAATTCCACTGGTAGTGCACCTTGCAGACACGAGTCTGCCAGCCAACTTGCCTCGTCCTGCAGTGAGTTATTACCAACGTGCAGCCAAGCCAAGGAAATCTGAGTTCCAAATGGATTCCTCATACATACCCAGGTGGGCCTCTTTCAGGTTCTCCCATGTACAGGTGGAAGATTACCTGACCCACTGCTGGCCACCCCAATCACATCCGATCCTTAGAGGCTAACTTTAATGGAGCAATTAAACAAAAACTAAGACGACACTTTAAAACTCAGCCTCTTGGATGAAACGAAGCATCTGCTATTGTTTTGGGTGTGGGGATGGGGAGGGGAGGGGGTTAAGCAATCCTTTCAGTACATTTTAGGCTTGGACTATGTTCGGGAGTGTTGATGTCCACTTTGTTTATAGTTTTAACCACAAAGTGCTTCACCAGTGCAGCTCACTACAGTTTAAAGCAGAATCATAAAAATAACCAAATTAATAGCAAGCATGCTTGACTCTGCCATCTGTTATCATCAGCACACTGAGTTCTTGCTTAACGTCCTTCCTCTCCACATTTAGCAAACCAGATAAGACCATGTGTACGGAATAGGATACGCAGCACCACCTTTTGCTGCTAACCCCATCTTTTTATGGAATCTGTCACAAGTATACATTATTTTTGAAAAGCAACAAATAAAATAGCCACCAAAGACAATCCAGTGCACGTTTAGACATAATAAATGAATAAATGTTTTAAAAAAAACCCCCAAAACCTATAGACCGGGAGTTCTAAGACTTTT